CTTCCCCTGAGGGCTCATTCTACTGTGTTTAAGTCTAAAACCTGCTAATTTTAAAGCCAGCTCAGAGAAAGCTAATGGTAGAATTTATTTCTTTCTTTTCACTTTCATTTTGCAAAGCTCAAGCTTTGCTTAATGTGCAAGCAAGTCATCAGCTCTTGTAAACACAACCAACTGATGCTACTGGAGAAAGCAAATGGCTTTTGGTATCTGCTGACCCCCCTGGTGTTTATCTAGAAGTAGGGATTAAATGGGAGCCACTCAAGTGTGCTTCGTCTGATTTTAAAAGATCTTTTGAGTGTTAAACATGGAATAAAGTGCTTAGTGTTATTTCCAAAGCAAGACCTGTTCCTGGATGATTTACCAAAGGCCACTGTCTTCAGCTTTATGTGGGTAAATGCTTTTAAAAGTTGGCTTCTGGGGTGTGGAGGCTCATTGATTCAATAGGACTTAATGATCAGGCTGCGCGAGCAGCTTCCTAAAGTGGGAGCTAAGCTCCTCTCAGTCCTTTAGATTATTTCACCTTATGTTTCTTTATCTCATTTCTGCTTAAAGATAGGTATGGTGGGTCTGAAAGATGCTGCAAAACATAAGGGCCCAGTAACACTAAGGATTTATGAAATAAAATATCAGTTGAAACAAGCATTCAAATGCAGTTTTGAATAACTGCTTGTCTCTCCACTGCTGCACTGCCTTAGTTTGGTTGTTGGGAAAAAATACTTAGTGGATATGCATATGTATTTTTATATATAAACTATATATGTGTGCTTAAGCATATCTGTATATAATTATATATTCAAATTATATATGAGTTAAATATATCTACAAATAAGTTACATGTACAGGTATTTAGGGATCTCTAGAGAAAGGTGTGTACATCCTGTGCTCATGGGCAGCACTGCTCTGAGATCCTCCGTGGGCAGACACCCATGCCATGGGTTTAGCACTGAGACTGGGCACAGCCTGTACCCACTGCAGCCTGGTACACCAGGGATGTGCTGTGCCTTTATTGCCCAGTTTCACCCTAGAACAGTGCAGCACTTTCAGAACAACACTCTCTGACTTCTCCATCTCTGCCCTTCCCATCAACAACCTCTCCATCACCACCATCAGCCTCCCAAGCATGGGCACAGAGCTAATAAATCTGAGCCTTTAATTGCCCTCCCACACAGTGTGGCCTTATCTGAGCCATCATCCCTCTCGCTGCGCCTCATCACACCTTTGTGTTTCTAGGTTTGTGCTGCTGGAGTCAGCAAGAGGATAAACCCACAGCTATTTGGCTTGGGTTTAGCTACAAATCCCCCCCAGTAACACGTTCCTGGTTGCGTGGTCTTATACAATGAGAACCACCAGGGCGAAGTGGCTCTGACTGGGAAGGATTTATCAATCCTCTGCTTTTTTCTATCATCTCATGCAAGATCCCACTTTTTTGGTTATTTATATAGCTAAAACTATGCAAAAAATTTGTGTGTGTGCGTGAAACAAAACCATAAATCCCATTGCTAAAGACATCAATATGGGCCAATGGGGCTGCTAGTCAAAGATGCTGGTGCTGGACCACTGATGCTGGAGAAGCTCCGATCACCACTCACAGCTGGTTGCTATTCAGGTCACAAGCAGACCTGTCTCTGCTACCCAAAGGAGATGGATTTATTGCCCTCTTTCCCCCTATAAGCTCAGGCAGTTTCCTGCAGCCCTCTGGCAGAGCGAGGCCAGCACAGCACGGGCGCAGTGGTATCAGCACCCGCAGGTCTATCAGGCTGAGCAGAAGCTTTTCCAGGAACTATCTAGTGCAACACATGACCGTGCGCCCGGGAGAAGGGCGATACGTGACAGGCATTCACCGGCCTCCTGGCTGGTCAGTTGACTTTGTTATTGAAGCTATTTTAGTGATGGGTTTTAATCCCAGGCTTAAGTTTTTCTTTTTTCCCTTTTTTTCTCTCTCTCTGGACAAGGGAATCTCTGCACTGGCAGGATTTGGAGAGGCACAAAGGAGGGAAAAACAAGTTCCAGCCAGAAAAGAAGAAAAAACCCAAAGGTTGTTGTTAGCATTTGCTATAAGCGAGGGGGTATAAACATTTTGCTGTGAACTTTATTTTAAAGGGCAAGTGCCAACAGCAGCCCAGTCACCATGCAAATAAATCCTGCGCTCAGCCTTTCAACCAGAAAGTTCTGGCGCTGAGGCTCATTACCCGCAGGAGCTGGGGTGCCACTGCAGAGCCGTGTTGGGAGACTATGGGCTTCCCCACATGTCTCCCCTAGATACCAGGGGGCAGTGTGGGCAGAGCACTGCAGAGACATGGGCTTGGTGCCCCACTGCCCATTATCACAAGTGGCAGCAAAACCCTCCCTCAGCTGTGCCTTTGTGCCAAGGGGACACCCTGGGGCAAGGCAGTGCCTGGAAAGGGCAGGAATATCACCCAAGACATCGCCTATCTACAGTGGGCAGGGGAGGAGGAGGATCTGGCACCAGACATGAAGCTCTGCAGGCAGCACAGGGTACGGGGCTGTCTCTCAGCTCTGTGGGTGGGAAGGGAGGTGATGCCAGATGGTGGCTGGGCTTGTCTGGACCCCAGCACTGGTTATTTATGGGGATGCCGCCCCGTGGCAGCAAAGGGGCTGCACGTGCTCCAGCCCATGCGAAAACTCACCCTGACAGCCCTGGTGTGATGGTTTCCTATGAAAAATACTTGAATTTGTCATGCAAATGACTGGCATGTGGGCACAGCTGCTGGGAGGAGGCCTGGCCTGGGTCAGCTGCCAGCATGGCCATGGGGATGTGCCCAGGACAAGGTCTGGTCCCCCATGGCTGCTACCACCCTTGGAACCTGCGCCAAGCAGATGGTGCTGCCGGGGCTGCCCTGCCAAATCAATCCAGCTCTCACCATTCCTCCCTGCATCCCTGTGGCTGCACATTGCCACACCAGAGCTCTTACACTGGCATTGTGACTCCCCAGCTCACGCCCACCCACGGCTCCCATTGCCCAGAGCAGAGCTGAGCTGCCTGAGGCAAGCTTGCTCCATGCCAGAACAACATAAAGCACACGGTGCAGGTGTAAAAGGATACTCTTACAGCTGCGCTGCCAAGAAATGCAGTGAAAAAAGAAAGAAAACAACATAAAACACTTTTAAGTAATTGCAAATTGATTTAAGCACTTGTCCTGTGCTACCCTGACCAGGAACCACTGCTTCTCAGCCACACTCATGCACTGCATTTAAATCTTGCCCTCTAACACAGCAACCCATCAGGCTCTTCCCACTTTCCCAGCCTAGCACCAGGCCAAGGAAGCACTTGGGCTCCTCCTTTTCAGGGGGCCACCAGCTTCTCCTGCCATCACAACCCCACTTCCACCTGGGAAGCTGGATGGCGGATGTCATTGTGCTGCCTGGCCACAGTTTCACAGTTGGGTTTGCAAACAGGAAGGCGGCAGGTTGAGCTGTTGTTTTGATGTGGTTGTGTCTTGAAATGAGCCCAGAGCAAAACTGAGTGGGATCTGGGAATGGCATTCGGCAGTGGCAGGCTGGGCATTGCTGCCTGCGCCCTCGCTTCCCGGCTGGTTTGGCCGCCCTTCAGGAAATCAGAGTCAGCTAAATGGAAAATCATCGCTCTTCTCATTTCAAAATGCACTGGACATATGGCTTTTGTCAACAGCAAATTAATTTTTAGAAGCCTTGGTCTTCCTGTTAACCAGGCCCTTGGTGAAAACAAAAGCCAGCGTTCAGCACTGTTCACCCAGGCAGAAGCACTGCCTGAGGATGGGCATCCTAACACCATGGAGCCAGCTGCTCCCAGCACTCATATCCACCTCCCAAGTCTTCCCCTCTCTCTTCCCTCTCAGAAAGACTCATGACAGGGAGAAAGAAGAATTGCTGAATGATCTCCGATGGTGCAGTACTTCAAAGGGCCAGGCTGTGCTCCCTGCCAGCACCGTGCTGGATGAGACACTCAGCTCTTACTCCTTTGGCAGCTCCACGGCCGTATCCAGAAAGTAATTACTTAAAAAGGAAATAAATGTTACCCACAGGGCTATAAGCAAAACCCCGGGCAGGATGAACAGAGCCCCACCAGGATCTGCATGCAGACACAGTATGAGGAAGGGAGGAATGAGCCGTTTCCATTCATCGAAGTGGAGTACTCTGGGGCCTACTGATGACATTAGACCTGCCCACTGTGCACCTTTAAGTTCACAGGGCAGCTGATCAGACACAGCGCTGAACTGCATTTGCTTTCACTCTACAGCACCCTGATCCCCAGGATGACTTCAGGCATCGTCACTTGCAACAGCAATAAATGCTGGTGCCAAAGATGCAGGCACTTCCTGGCACCAGTTCTGCTGTAACCTTTAGGGAGATGAACTAGAAAACGGGCATGAGCAAATAAGATAATTTTATTTATTTTTAAAAGTGACAGTTTGTAATTGTCAAAATTTGAAAACCAAATTTCCAGATCAAGCTGCCTGGGGATAGGCAGATGCAGCCACCTCACCAATGCAAAGGAGCTGGCCCAGGCACTACTGGGCCCTTGAAGAGGACCAGGCTCTGGCAGACCTCTATTCAATTCTGGAAAAAAAACCCTTAATCTAAGCAAATAAGAAGGAAAGTGATTCCCTGAGGATTCTGGGATGAGACCAGATCCCAGCTGTCCTTGTTTCCACTGGAGCTGCATCAGGAGGGAGGCACTTTACAGCCTCTGCTCTACACAAGCCATGTATGAGCAAGTGCCCCAGTGCTGGGTACGAGCACTGGTGACCACACTGCTCCGGTGCAATGCTCCAGGAGCTCAAAAACCCCCCTGGTGACTTGGGATGTGCAGAACAAGTAACAGCACATGGGACGTGCTGCAAGGGATGGGGGCACCCATAGAATGCCGGGTCAGGATGCACCACAGGACACATGCTCCCACGTGCCCTGGCATGCTCATGGGTGAAAGCCCAGCAGAGGCAATGGGAAAGCACTCCCTAATGGATTCCAGCCAAGCAAACATGGTACCATACAGTATTGGATAATTTTAAAAGTTAAAATAGTTTATTGCTGTTCTTTGTAGAAATGCACTTAACTTACATCATCCGTTCTCTTCCTTTTTTTTGGCTGTTGCACTGGAGGCATAAAAAGGTTACGTTCACCCATTTGTTCAATGACCTAACACCTTTTGCTTCACTCATGATATCCTCCTAAGTTTCGCTGGCCAACAGCCCCAGATCTCTTTTACATAAATACTGTAAATGTCTCCATAGGTTGCAGCATTGTAACAAAATATCTACCAAAGTAGACAAAATGTTCGGTATTCTTGGTTGGTTTTTTGCATTTAAAAATATACCTAAATTTGAGATAATCTTAACAGAGTAACAATTACAATAAGAAAATAGTACAGTGCGTTGACTAAAGGAATATTCTGCTCTCCTTCAAGCCAATATTCCCTTTTGCATGTTGAAGTGATTCAGCAATTACTTAAGAACTTTTACCTACATACAATAATTTAGTAAAATGAGAATTAAACAAGGCAGATACTACTCTTCTTCTGTCTGCAATTCACAGCTCATGCGAATAAAATCGCAATAAATATTAAAAAATAGTTTTTCTTTTTTTTTCTTTTTCTTCTTTTCTGTAAGGCATCTCTGAGTATTACAAAGTTTTTGTACAACCAAAAAATAAGATTGCTTTTTTCCATGTTCTCCAAGTACCTCTGTACCTCAACAGTAAATAGGAGGATTGCAGGTTTGGTGAGGAAGGGCAGGCTGATGGGATAGGGGTGGAAAGAAGACCATGGATGATGGAAGCAGACCAGCAGACCACGATGTGTGCAAGAATCTGTAGTTCTCCTGTGGAACATTTCAGTCACTTTCAGAACATCTTCCAGACAGTATCTGTCCGGATTGGGATGGAAAAAGAAAATAAAAACAAAAAACCTAACCAGAAGTCCGTTTTTGTAAGCACAGTCAGACTGCAAGGGTTTGGGTTTGCCCTTAACACTATAAATAGCTTAGATATTGATATGCACCTACAGAAAGGGACAGGGTGATTTTTTTTCTTCCTTTTTCTGTTTTGATTCTTTTACTGGGTTTTTCTGTTGTTGCTTTTGTTGTCCCAGTCGTATCCTTCCATTGTAAGAGATTGTCCTAGGCAGCAGGGCCCTTACTGCATGCGGTCAGGCTGCAGCTGCTGGGGCTGGTACTGCACGAAGGCGGTGGCGGGTGCCGCAGGGTTGCTGGCGGTGATGGGGGGCTGGACCGTGCCTGTGTATCCGTATCCCACAAACCCGGCAGCGGGAGAGGCAGCGTAGGGATACTGATCGTAGGCAGCTGTGGTGTACTGGGAATAGGCTTGGCTGGCGGTGGTGTAGTCAATGTAGGGAGAAGTGATGGACTGCACGGGGGTAGGGATCACCACGCTGGGCTGGATGATAGCTTGGGGGTAAACATAGTGAGGCGTGAGTCTGTGGAGGCAACAGGAGAGAGTTAGTGAGGGGCTGGGCTCCCTTCAACCTGCATGTTCTCCTCTTTACTCCCCCAAATTCATGTGCATCAGCCACAAACACACTGCTGCCCCCTGAGTGAGGGATGCTGCTCAGGGTGCAGAGAATGAAAAGCAGAACACTCCCAGACCCAAGGGTGGAAGTAGCGCAAGGTGAAGCACGGACTGCAAGAATGGACAACATCCTGGGCTCCATGTCTTGTTCCTCCCACTAAACAGGCTGCCAGTCCCTAAAATAACCTCCCTGGATGGCTGTGACACAGCCGCTGCCTGACTGGATCACCAAATCTCCCTGGTCCCTGCCTATCCTTGCCTGCACTGGCAGCATCACTGCCTCCTACAGCCTCCAGGTCCACGCTCCCCACCACTACCCAAACCCTGGTGGAGGCTCCAGAGGACACAGAGCCCATGGGGCACTTCCTGGCACCAGGAACACTCCTCCACTCATCCCACCTGGTGCGTCCCATCAGGGATGAACACTGTCCCTGCATCATAGCCATGGGCCTTCCAGCTTGCCAGCTGTTATCAGTGCTACACATTTAAGCCTGTTTCCATAACACTGAATGTTTAGGGCAATGCTACAGGGTGTTTGTTGTAAAACATTAAGAGATTAATGCTGGTTTTCTTCCCTTCAATAACACTCCCCAGTAGCGATTGTGCCAGCAGTCCCCAGTGCACCAGTGATGCTAGTGTGCCCATGAGCTTATACACCCAGGCTCTGTCGAAAGCCAGCCCCTGCCATTTCCTCTGCCTTTCAATGGAGGTCCTAAAGTGTTGCTTTTCACCAGCCAGTTTGCCCCTGCCCTGAGTTAGCTGTGCTGCTAAGAGGAATTTAACACCACTAGTCAATTAAAGTCCATAGATCTTGGAGATCATTAATGCAGGACTGCCCATTAATTTGATTGATTAAAACCGCTAAAGAGGAGGAAAGGGGAAAAAAAAAACCAAATCCCAAACCCCCAAAAAGAAGCAAAATGAAAGAGCTGTATTTTCCAAAGGACCTCCAACAAGTCAGGCCTCAAACAAGATAAAAAAACATATTAACCAGAAGGTTTAGGTCCATCCACACAAATTGCCATGGGCCACATGAAAACAGGCAACTGCACATCAATGCAGAGTGCAAATGGTATCTGCCTGCACAGCCCTCAGCAGCACAGAGCTCCAGTGTGGGCAGGCTTGACAGGGCTGAGGCTTGTTTAAGAAACAGGGGTGAGCAGATCAGTCCCAGCAAATGGCACATGGCCATTGACAGATCAGAGCCACGTGCACCAAGAAGTGCATTCTGTGGAAAGGGTCCCTTTGGTGGCTGCTTGCTAAACCACATCAGGCAACAGCATGAACCAGAGCCCATCCTCTGGAGGGCTCGTTCAGCCCACCTCCAAACCCAGCTCGTTTTGGCAAACAGAATACCCCAGGGTAACTGCAGAGCGCTCGTGCAGATTCAGACTCTCTGGGGGTTTGTGTGTGGATGTGTGTGACAGCACATTTTCAAACATGACCACTGCTAAAAGCCTCCCACAAGCTCTTCTGTATGTGCCCACACTGCTCTTTAGAGCCAAGCTCAACTGCTATGCAGAGGATATCTCGCCCACTCGTCCATCTCGCGGGTTGGAAGCTCTAGGACTCTGGTGCTTATGGGGACTCACAGCATGGGACTGGTCACTTCTGCTGGCTGGGTCACTGGCCACCCTCATTCCACCCAAGTGTCCATCCTAGCTCTCAGCTACCACATACAATATACTGGGGTTCACACGGGGCTGGTCCCTCCAGTCCAGCAGAATGAGGCTATTCTCATTTGCTTTGCTACCAGCACCAGATGGTTCAACCTGCTCTTCAGGCACAAGAAAGGCTTCTCACAAATAATTGTTCATCTGAACCAAGTTTTCTCTCCATTTCCCACTCACATACACACTTCGGTTTTTCTTGAGGCAATCTGCATGATGAGAGAATTATTATTCTCTTCCCCGCACACAACAACACCGCCTCTGAAGTCAGGGTCCTTAGATATAACAAGACCAGCTCCAGAGGAGCAGCACCAAGGAGGATGGATGGTGGGAAGCAGCACCTCAGCCTTCAGCTGATTAAGTGCAGGACCATCTCCAGAGGCCAGAGCCGTCCCTGGCACAGTACAGAGAGAGGAAGCTTCAGTCCATAAACACACCATATCCAATATCACCCTGTGACTAACAAGAATGAGATGAGGCAGCAGAGTCACTGGATCACTTTTGGTTTAGCTCTCATATAAGCTGAGGCTGCTACAACTGAATCGGAGCTAGAGCTTATGCACCAGTTCAGACCAAAGGCACCCAATGTCACCCACATCAGGCAGCAGCAGCAGATGCCTCTGCTGAGGAGCTGGGCTTAGTGCCATGCTTGGTCACTTGGGGTTTGTTTCCTTTCATTTAGTTTGAAAGAACACAGAGGTGCTGTGCTGCTGCCTTGGCAGGCCAGGGGCTGGGAAAAGGCTCTGCAGAGGCATTCCCTGGCATCAGCCCATGGAGCAATACGAGTGGACCCCATGCATGGCTCTTGCTCTACCCCCTTGTAAATCAGCAGCTCAGACAACAGCCTTCATCCCAGATTGGTGATGGGATGCTTTGGCTGCCTGTTGCTTCTCCCTGTATGTAGTGTCCCGCTGCTGGGTTCCTGCTACTCCAGGGATTGATAAAATTAAAACCACCCCACAAATGCAACAAAGCCACATCACAATCCTGATGCTCAGGATGCACCACATGAGCAGGAGCAGAGGAGGGGCCTGCACTTCTGCTTTCAGCCTGCACCTGCAAAGTGACCAGCAGGATGGTCCAAGAGCCTCTAAGCAATCCAGCCTGAGCATCATCCTGTTTGAACAGCAATGCAGGCCACCCCCCTATGTCCCCTGCTGCCACCCAACTGCTCTTTAGAGCCAGCCCACCCCATGCAGGGGACACAGGGTGAGTACATGCCCCCAGCTCATCCCTGAGAGACTCCACACTCCAGCTTTGCTTTCATGTATACAGCTCCTCCATTGCAGCTCCTGTGGTGTATGCAAGAGGAAGTCCGTGATATCCTGCACTACTATTTCTTTTTCAGCACAGAAAAATTCCAGCTCTTCAATGCTGCTTTGAATAAAAAGCACCATTAGCTAGGAATACAGTAAGTACTCCTCTACTGTATCCAGAAATACATCCCAGCCTAATGCATACACACGTACGTATCACACACCATGGTTTACTGCACTAGAAAAATCACACTCAGTAACTACAGAATGCACTTCTATGGAGAAGGGAAGGTTTTTTGGCCTGTGGGTTGTCAATAATTTAGCCAGAAGTTTCAATCAAGATATTATGCAGTTGAGACTTCTGAATTAGGCAGACAGATGGCAACTCATAGATCTAAATGCACAATCCAAGGTAAGGTCACTTTGATGACTTGCAGCTACAGACAAAACAAAACAGTGCAGCACAATGAAGTTCCCTGCAGGCTATGTTTAACATCCAGACCTTAAATATATTCCCCCCACCATAATTTCTGAAGATGATTTTTGGAGGTTTTTTGGAGTTCTTCTAGAAAGCAGCAAACTCCAATCCAAATTTCTAGAGAATGAGTCACATCTGTGTGTTTTAAGATGCCTTTCCCCTCCTCCCTCCCTGCAGTTTTCCTCCATCCCCCACAGCGGACCCTGCCAGCCAGAGGAGAACTTCATCTAGAACATGCACAGTGTGAATGTAAAACGTCAACCAAGCCACCAACCATTGCCACCACACATCAGAGTCACTCCACGAGCAGCAGATGTATGAGATGTGATTAATCACAGGCAAAGGCCACCAAATGCAATCAGAGCGGTCAAACCTAGGTCTAGAGCCAGCAGTGGCCGCAGCAGGGACTTGGGATGGCTGTCGCAGTGCAGGAGGGCAGATGGGACCACCACACTAGCCCACGTTCCTCACTGTGAGGCACAACAGCAGCCAAAATTGAAAGACACAGAACAAAAGAGGTGGTTACAGAGCCCCTGGCAGAAGAGACATGGGATTGGCTTCTGCTCTTGCTGTGCAAAACACAAAGGACAGAGCAAAGCAGCAAGTTTCTGGTGCAGCCCTAAAACCTGTTCTCCCCATCACACTGCACTGGTGGGGCTGCCAGGGGTGAGCTGCAGGGCAGGGGAGGCTGGTGGGCAGCCAGGAAGAAGGGAACAGTCAGATGGCCATGTGTCCCACACCTCTTCCCAACGTCAAGGAAGAAAAATGAGCTAACCAGACCCTCTCCCTCAACATCAGATATATCTGGTAGAGCTCATCTCGGAGGCACTTCATATATTTGATCATTTCCTGTCAGATTTACAGCTAAAATGAGTTTTAGCTGCATTTTCTCAGCTCTCCCCCATCCTGCAGGGCTTCCTATGCATGAGCAGTGCTCGCAAGCTGGACAGGCCTGGGAGAGAAGCAAAGAGGAGTTCCTGACCCCCTTGATCTCTACCAGCCATGTTGGGAGCTGGTGTCATTGCCCCTGTAGATGTAGGAGACAACTGCAACCCTCTGCCAAGAGACACAGCATCACACAAGCACTTGGGAAGCAAGGAGGAGCACAGAGCTCTTGGCAGTCTTGCAGAGATCAGGACACAAATGCCACTGCCACGACCAGCCTTTTATTCCTTAAAGGATAAAGGAACAGAGCCCTTTGTGTCTGCCAGCGAAGGCACAAATTCTGGCATTTGACCCCAGGAATTTGGCCTCCATTTCCACTAGAGTTGACCCATTAGCTGCTACAGGGACACCCACACTGCCACAATATGTGGTGCTGTGCTCCAGTTGGTAGGTGGTACTGCACAATGAGCTGAGCACAGCCAGAGCTGACCATGACAGCAACCTGACAGCTACGTCTGGTCAAATAACACTTCCCACCACAGCCTGGAGGAGAGATCTGAAGATGCATTTTGGAGTGGGTTCCAAGAGCACCAGACAGAAGCAGCTCTAGGAAGCACAT